TCCTTGTTACTAGTAGCGATGCCCTTTGCTCCTAGTAGCGTCCTTATTTATTGATATATTATATGATATGATAGCTGCGATCTAAACCCCTTACATGTGGTAAAGGACCTTAAAAAGGGCGGGGTGTTGTTGCTTGTTTTGGTTCTTGACGCCATCGTTGATTTGGGGAATCGGCACTCCCAACATGAAGGCCTATAGCTGCGCACCCACAGTGGCTGCTTCTTCTTTTACTGATTGACAGAGTTCGACATGTGACACACAGCGCTCTATGGCTCTATGTTCCTTGCTACTGAGGCCCATGTGTGGAACGCAATGGTCTACCTTTCGAACTTCTCCAGTTCTGGGCATCCATGTGGACATCAATGAATGTACTCTGATTCACTGGAAGTGGAGCCCGGCCCGATCCGAAACAAAGAGGAACAACGCTGACGTCACGATAAATAGCTGCATGCTGGTGCTTCAAAATTGGACAAACATGCCTTGACCTGGTTGCATTCTGGTTCTTCAGCGTTCCGTTTGCATTACCATATATGCAAAGACTTACGTGCAGCGAAACGAGCAGAACATGGCGCGTCGGATGCAGAACAGCCCTCCGAGCCTTTCGGCACAAGCTGCTGCCTGGATTCGGCTCATCAAAGGCGGGTTCAGCCACTTTCGGGCAACATAAAGCAGGTGCTAAATCTTGGGCATGCCATAAGTGACAAAACCCTGTGCAACTTGCCGGCAAGAAGGAAAACTCAAGATAGACAACTCAAAAGTCCCGCCTCTGCTGCATCTTGCTCACGCAGCCAGGCCTCATCCTCCTAGCATGGCATTGGCTAAAGTCGTTGACATTCATGGCATGTTTTGTAACATATATAGTTGCCGCTTAAAGTCAAAACTACATAATACGGACTCCAGCAAGCTTCAGACTTCCTGGAGTTTTAACAGAGCTCTCGGCCAAGCCGACTCTCGAGCCAGGAGTGTCCGCTCGATGTGACTTTTGAATCCTTTCGAAGCGTTGGTCCCGGTGGGCCCCTTTGGGGCTGAGCTTCCCGCGTCGAGCGTCGAGACTCCAGTCACACTGGATGGGTCCGGTGGGAGGCGGATGACCGGACGCCACGAAGACATAGCACTATAGCACTAGACATAGCAGCACCCATTTTGGGTGGTTGATAGATCCGCCCTGACTATCTATGTATCCATCTAAGAACCACCCAGGGTGTTGCAGAGTATATGGCTGCACCTTCGATATATCTCATGATCCGAACCGTTTCGGTGGGGTATTTTACCATCCAATTCACAAAGGCAGGCGGTGCTTTTTTTCTCCAAGCTGCCCCTTTAGTATAGCCAAAAAACATACTAAAATAAAAAAAACATACACACAGTTTACAATATACTGTGTATATATATATTATAATTTATATATAACGTTGCAACCACGGCATGTTTTTGTGGGATTGGGGCAACAAGATATCATATTATCAACCTGCCTGCCGGAGACGGACCAAACAATGGGAGGTCGTGGTGGGGGGATGGTGTTTGGAACCTGATTACGTAAACCAACAAACACGCACAACATCGACAATGTTTAGTAGTGGTTTAGGGTTCTATAAACATAAAAACGTACAAACCATATGAATGGGTGCGCGACATGCATTTTGTTTGTAATTGGGGAGCGTGTTTTTTCAAAACAACTCGAGAATACTCACGATTCTTCGCTGTGGCAAGTCAGGTCGCCATCGCTGTCGCCCACCAGTTCGACGACCCAGTCGCGCTTGAAACGACCCACCCAGTGGGTTAGACGATCTCAAAAAATAGAGGAATGGACGGAGTACCTGCACGACCTGATTGATCTTATCTCCTATCAGATTTGCTGTGCGACCTAGCGCGAGCTTGCAGCTTGGCCGAGTGCAGTAATCCAACCATCATCTGGAATGGTGTCTTAGCAGTAACTGATGGAAAAACTTGCGTGTTTGCCGCACGCAAGGATGAAACTAGGGCTAAATCAGCTTACATTCCTAAGAGCAGTAGGAAAAGGATTGAACCTGATTTCCTGCCAGTTCCACATGCATCATCTTTTCAAGTTCTGCTACATGCATATCCAAGCAAATATACACGCACACATATAAACACACAATCCACAATCAGTGGAACAACTTAAATTTTGTTGGTGGAACTGTCATACGCTTGGTTGAAATAAGTCATATTCGCAAGGCCATGCTCCTGTCGGGAAGTGTTCCTCCCTCCGAGGAACTGGAGAGGCTGCGGGACGAAGATTTAGACCCTGCATCCAACAAGGGCTTTAAAAAGGGTGCGGCCCGTTTGAGCCTTTCTTGAAACTTTTGCATCACCACTCCTGCTCGCGGGGCCCTGCACAAATGTATCAACTTATGGTACCCACAGTGATTTGTCATGTTTCACAGTACGAGTGCCAATAAAGTTGGTATCATTCTCAGGGGAATTGGTGGGACCCAATGCCTTGACCATGATCAGCAGGTTAATCCCATCATGTGCCGATGTATCTACTATTTAACGGCGGAGTTGTCAAAGTCACGGAGCAAGCAAGAGATTTCATACAGTGATGCGCCGCGATGCGCCCGCCGTCAAACGCCGTGCAAATGCGAAGAGGGTAGCGGGCCAGGCGAAGTAGCAACGATTCGGACCTTCAACAAGTGTCCTGTCTGGAGATTCCAGATAGTAGTGTAGGGGCTTCCAGCCAGGTGACCCCTTAGAAGGCCATATGGCAAGATTCGTCATACACGAAGGCAGCGTCAGCTTCATCCCTCCGACCATCGCTTGGCACATTCACCTCCAACAATCGCTTGGCGGTGGCCTGTGGGCCCACCTTTCACTAGGGACGGAGGCATTCAAATGGATCTTGAAAATTTAGGAAGAAAGCCAAACCACATGACAATGACAGGGCACGCATCACGGCGGGAAACTACATGCCCGGGTGTGCTTGCATATTTGCCATGGCATCAGCAAATGAACGTGTGAAGGACCTCAGAAAAAGGCAGCTTCGAAACACAGAACGCAAAGAATCTCCGATGGTAGCGATGCCCTTTGCTCCTAATAGCTTCTTGTTACTACTAGTAAGGCAATTGTTACTAGTAGCGATGCCCTTTGCTCCTCATACAGTAGTACCACTGAGCTCCGGCGGCATGCTCCGCTCCGCTGGGCCCCCAAAACACCCTTCTCCGCCACTCACCCGCCGGAGCGGCACCGACTTCGCGGTGGCGCGACGGAGCGTGGTGTCAACGACGCACTGACCGCGCAACCGGCTCAAAGGCGGAGTTCGGAACGGTCGGCCCCGAGCCCGCCGGCGCGACCTGAGGTTGCCACATACGCCGTTTGAGGACGGATCCCCGTCGTTCACTGGAGACCAAGGACAGCAAGCTTTGTGGCCTCAAAACGCTGGGCCGGACGCTTTGTGCATCAGCTGCAGGTCAAGCACAAAAGCCGGTGCCGAAAGCCATGGGTGGAATCTATGATGTTCTATGGCCAAATGATCTTGGTTGAGGCTTTCAATCGCAGTCAAACCAGTCAAATCGGTCTGCTAAGTCTCTGACGCTTTTGCAGCAGGTCTGGATGTGTCTGGATCCTCAGGTGTGCATAATAACACGCCACAAACGCAGGGTCTGCGTCTGCCCGCCGAAATGTTCAGTTCCCGGCACTTTGGCCTTGCGGCTAGCACGCGACACGCGGGGCGACTGGTCAACTTGTCGACTTATGTTTTATAATGTTTCTATATTTTTAAATGTTGGAAAACCCGGCCAGTCAGCCAAAACCATGCAAGCCCAATGACTCAGAGTGAAAAAGACTTTGTGTTGCTGAAATGCATCGAAAGATCTATTGGGGAGGTCAGCGTTAAGTGTGGTAACTAAAACGTTGGGCTTGGAAATTAACAACGCGCTCATCATACCATGTTCAAACAATTGCTGACATGAATGTCACGTCAAAATCACTCACCACCACCAGCATCAGTTGCTGAACCCTAGTTCCTGAACCCAAGAAGTGTCTGATTGCGTGGTTTTACTTTCTGAACCCTATAGCGGCCCTAGTTTCTAAACTCGGGTCAGTTTCTGAATTCTGAACTTTACTTTGTTCATTGTGAGATGCACATGCCGGATTCAAATATCCATAAAATTGTACACTGTCAAGGCGTTGATCACCGCATCCTGCCTAAGATTGGAGCAGAGGTCGACCCTTTCATCCTGGAGCGCGAGAGTGTGAGAAAACCTCAACCATCGTCTCCATCCGACACGCGGAGTGTCACCCACTGCAGTTCGTCACCGATTGGTGAGTCAGGCATGGGTCCCTGACTGGCGTCCAACGGGAAGCTTGGCGGTCCAACTACCTTTCTGGTGGAAAACACCCGCCATACCGTCCTGTAGCTCGCATTGGGCTTGATGAACGTGGCCGGGCTTGGGAAAATCAAGTCCTGCGACTCGGAACCACGCGTGGGCGGAATTGTATAGCATCCTCTTGTCACTGTCATTGTTAATATGATTCCTATATGGCCGCGGGTCACAAAATTTGACTCAGGGTTCCACAGCGCATACGGGTTTTATAACAAATATCATAACTGTAACTACACTAGACTATATGTACTTACAGTAGTTGGTTATAGTTTATGATGCTATTAGATGTTTAGTAGGCATTAATTCTATTGATATTCATCAGCTATGTGTTACGTGTTTCTCCCTTTGGGTTTCACAAAAGGTGGCTGTTTTCGTCCGAACTCCATGGACCCCCCCACACCCAGAGGTGATCCGAGGTGTCGCCGAGTGCCGTTAGCCTAAATCGCTTCGCCGAATGGGTTCGCGATGGCTTGGATGGCTCGAGCTTGGTGTCTTTTGCAGATTGGGTCGGGATTGGCTTATAAATTGGCTCGAGCTTGGCCTATGATGCGGCTTATGATGAAACCCTGGATTTCCGCCACGAAGAAACGTCGAGTTGACCTTCCCGTTCCGTCACCCGCACGGCTGATCGCTGCAGCCCATTCTGTCGCTCTCTGTTCCGTCGGAGCAGTACGACGACTTGGCCGTCGCAGCAGTGCGACTGACTGGTTGGTTGGCTCTTCCCCCCAGCAAAAAGGACTTCCCCGAATAGCCACACATAGGAATTGTACGCCTTCTCTGGCAGGTTTTGCTCGAGGGTTGAGCCCCTTATAAGTATGCTGCGATACGCTCCGCTCTTGCAAAAGAACCTCTGCGGCTGTGCAAAAGCCTATGAGCGTTGAGCATCCCTCAACCGACTTGTCCAGTGCATTTAGCAGCCGAATTCATCACGTGTTTCACGTGATGTGCCCCCAGATCCAAAGAGCATCCACACTCTCTCCGATCCAGTTTCTGTGATTGGCACTGAGTCACTGAGGGAATCTGAGCTTTGGTCTAAGTCACAGCTTAGTTTAGGACCAGCCTGGGCTGATAATTCTGATTCTTGGCCAACGATTCTGAGAGCCCACGGATGCTCATGAGGCTAACCCCACTGCCCATAGCAACTATTGCATACCATTGCTAACCTAACCATCATACTCTTCCACTTGCTGCACCTCAGTATCCAAGTACACCAAAAAGCACCTGTTCTTCTCTAATGCATTGCTAGCAGGTGCCAGCGGCCAGGGCACAAAACGGTAGGCCAACAACTGAACTGCCGGAGCCCTGCGGCCAACGGGAGACGTCGCCAAACGGCCGCACGGTGTTCGGTGCCCAACGTAAATGATGTTAACCCTAAATGAATGCGGTTTTGCATGGTTTTATTCAAAGAATTGGCGGCCAAGTACAGTACGAGAAAGCTCAACGGTACAATTGTAATCTGC